ATTGAGAGTCTAACATGGCTTCAAAATTGGTATAATAAGACTTTTTTACTAAGATATATCTACAACAGATAATTAACTAACACATCGTTACTTAGGGTTAATTATCGGTAAGAGATCTGCAGACAAACAAGACTATATTGAACGACTCGTGTAACCTATGATCACGTGATCTTATATACATTTCTGGCAAACTATGTTGGAGGCGAATCCAAATTGTAGGCAAATTTGCCGACAAAACAGTTTAAGGGATACGGGGCAGACTGCAACAAAAGTGAACATTTTAATTTTATTGTGTGACTCGTTTATATTTATCCAGCCACCTGCAGCGGTTTTCTTCAGCGCTAATGAATCCTCAGAGAAAGGCAAAGCGAGGGGAACCAGTCTGTAATTGGTGCTGTGTCCACGTCCTGAATCATCGCGCCGCTTCCCATGAGTGAATGAATGGGGACAGGAAGAGTCCAAAATTGTATGAAGACAAGATACATGAAAGCTGATAGATATAAGAACTTGATTACAGGATCAAAGATATGGTTTCTGAAAATACCAGTAACAATAATTGTGGGGGCTGATAATGCTGATGCTGAAACGCTCGTGACCACAAATTTATTACGTAATCCCTATCGCTGGAAAATGTTCCCCAAAATAGATTATGCATTTTCCAAGTTTATATAGGTGGTTGCAAATTTTACATAAATCAAACAACCCATTCAGCTGGCTAAACAATCTTAATGAACCATGGATGAGAAAACTTATAACGGAATTTATAGCCCCCTTCAGGTTTTATTAAATGGCTGTTCAGATACGTTCTAATGCAAAAAACGTATTTATTAAACATATTTTTACATAGACGTCAGGGAATAGTAACTCCGTACGGCGCGACGGGCAAGATGGTAAGATTGCCTTACTTTCGACCGATCTTGGTGATTACAATATGGGACGCCATATATCTACTGTGGGCATACTACATAAGTCGGCCTCCAAGGAAAAGTTTCAAGGAACAAACCGCATATTTAGTGAAAATGTTGGACCTCCTTTGCAAAAAGATTTTAGAAATGGAGGAGAACGTCCTGGCTCGCCCAATCACGATAAATCTCACATTTTCGGCACGAAACGGGAAGATTCTGAGATACTTTTTCGGGGCAACAATTCGTTGTGGGAAAATGGGACAAACGGGAAAGCTGATATACGATATAAACAAACTAGCGTCAAAGACGAGAGTGAAAATGATGCCGTTGAATGTTCCAATCGAGAAAAAATTCGAGAACTGCGGTCAAGCTTGGGGAAATTGTTCCGAGACAGTACCATGGACGGCTCTGTATGGACAAAGAAACGCGTTCAAACGCCGTGTTATCTTGTACTCCCAAACAATGAATCTAAAATCGAACTTGACAGTTTTTCCGTGTGCCAAGTGTCAGTTTGTGCGAGACTCGATATTAAAACATCGTGCAATAACTCTCCCATTATAGTTGAACGAATAAGTGAATCTGATGGTATTCGTGTGGCAACCTCTCTTCACCTTAAGCTCCAAACTGAAGATCCTCAAGAAAATACTATGAAAGAGCTTCAATGTTACATTACGGAAATTAAACAGTTTGGTTTTCATCATATTATCGTCATCGGAAAACGTTATTGTGGCATGCTTTTTATGGATTGTTTTCGTCGCGTGTTTGATTGGGATTCAGCAAATTATGCATTGTGGCTTCTCGGGGATTATTTCGAAATTATATCAAAGGATGAATCTGAGGAATATGGTCGGATAGCATGGGGCGTCTTGGATGACGGAACTGTGATTGAGCTCGAAAAATGTATGTGTGTATTTGTAGTTTGAGCTAGATAAATTAACGCGTATATTTAATTAACATTGTACCTTAATCTCTTATATTTATTTCTTCTTTCAGATTTGCCGGGAAAAGGTAACACTGACTCAATTGTAAAAAAGAAAAAAAAGAAAAACCGTCATCGATTAATATAAAATATCTTGGTCTTACAAACCAAGTAATCATAATGGTTTATTCTGCAATATATCGAAAAATAGTAAAGACGCGTTTGATTTATTTTGAAAGCTAATAAAGTTTGCTTATTTTTTACGTACGCATGCGAACATATTGAACAATGAAATTGAGTTGCGAAAATAATGCACCTGATATTTAAAGTTTTAATTTTATTCAATGAGACCCAATTCTCGATGATTCGGGATGACTATGTATGGATCCTCGTAATACTAAACATATCTTAAAACAATCCAGTTTTCTTCGCACAATTCATTCTTGAGTTGATCTCGCTTTTGTTGCCGGACAAAAATATTAAGATCTCCTTTATGAAAGAATTTACGATATCTTTCATAGCCCATTGCTTTGCAATACTTATATTGCTGTATTAATAAATAACAGAAAAAATAATTATCTCATTATCGTGAATCACGCTCTATTCATTAGAAAGATCGAGTGCTTGGTCCCATCCCTTGCGAATGTAGAGCGGATCCTCTTTTGCTCTAGTTAAATCGATAACAATAAAATTTCTACCTTGCAAATTTTTATCAAGTATATCGACAACATCGCGCCATTTTTTGTATATCGTCTGGCAATATTCACTAGCTCATCATATGTACCTGCGCCATTAAAGAGTACGATATAATCCA